TAACTTAGTCAGACACAGCATCCCCCTGTGCCCATGCTCCTGTACCTCTTTCTACAAATCATTTGGGTCCAATGTTTGTAGCAGACTCATAGACGTTACTCACAGTTGTGGTACTGAGTTGTTATATGCCATTGAGTCACCTGCGACTCATAGCAACCCTACATACAATAGTTCTGGATCCTGCTGTATCTAGAGCCAATTTCATTGTCTCTGAGACACCTACCCCTATTACCCCAGTCGCTGATTCAATCCTTCTTATCCAGGGTCTTCCCTTCTTATGCTGTCTTTCCACCCTTTCAAGCATTATCTCCCTCTCAAAGGATTAGTCCCTTCAGGCAACATAACCAGAGAATGTCAGACAGAGCTTCAAAGACCTTGCCTCCAAGGAGTAGCCTGGTTTCACTCTCTCCAGAATGAATCTGTTTGCTCTCTTAGCAGTCCATAGTATATTTAATATATTTAATATTCTTCTCTAGCACCACAACTCAAAGGCATCAATTCTTCTATCATCCTTAGTCACTGGCCAGCTTTCTGATGCATAGCAAGTAATTGCAAAGACTATGGTCTGGGTCAGGCACATCTTGATCTCTAGACTGATGCTGTTGCTCTTCAGTTCTCTGACACTAGATTTTCCCAATGTAATTTGTCCTTTGATATCTTGGTTACTGTTGAGTGTGGAGCCAACTAAGCTAAAGCTGTTAACAATCTAAGAGTGGAGTTTATTGGAGAAGTAAGTTAGAGAGTGGGAAAAGCTAAGAATATCACCTAGTCAAGATTTTAGCCCAATAGTCCCAAGGCAAAATTTCACAATTAATCTAGGGTCCAGTTTCAGTTTAGCAGTCAGCTTTTCCTTCCATCATCTGACAAAGTAACAAAACTTTTAAATGTGGTCTTTATCTCAGGGATACTATGGTGTCACCTTGCCAAAATTTATAGCAATGCCATAGTCTCTCCACCACCATCACCAAGGTCTCTGCACCAGGGTATCCCCACAAGGGTTTCACCCTCACCAGGGTCTTGCTGTAGTCTCCCTCCCTCAAGTCCTGCTAAGTGGGAAACACACACTCTCTCTCTCCAACCCTCCTCACCCCCTTCCTCCACGTCCTCCTCCTCCTCTTCCTCTTTTTTGCTTCTTCTTCTTCTTCTTCTTCTTCTTCTTCTTCTTCTTCTTCTTCTTCTTCTTCTTCTTCTTCTTCTTCTTCTTCTTCTTCTTCTTCTTCTTCTCTTCTTCTCATAGCTATTGATCGTTTGCAAGACCATGTGTCTGTAGTTAGGTAGCAGAAGACCTAAGAGGAATAATGTAATAGCTAATAAATCTAACTTTTATGTTTGATATTTTTGAAATTTTTTATTATTATTATTAATATTAATATTAATGTTTACAGAGACTTTGAATTTCCATTCATTCATTGTTACACTTTTCTCCCTGTTCCCCCCCCCCCAGGACATTCTTCTCTTTGTAAAGTAAAAGAAAAATTTTTTCATTGTTATACAATCCTTCTAGTTATATCCACTGCACTATGCAGCCTTTGTTCTGGACTCCTGTCATGAAAATAAACTAATATTGCAGATGATCTATTTGAGCTTTAGATTAGGGTCCTTACATTGACTCCTGTTTTTCTTTGATGATCTTTCTAGTTTTAGGTTCTATATTCAGATCTTTGATTCATCTTGAGTTAGTTTTTAAATGATGGAGATGTAGATCTTTTAAGTTTTACAATATGGATATCCAGGTTTTCTAGCAGGACTTGTTAATGAGTCTGTCTTTTTCTCCACTTAATAGATCTCAGCTTTTTGTCAAAGATTAGTGGTCCAAAGGTGGATAGGTTTCCTTCTGGGTTCTCATTTCTATTCTGTTGGTCTGTGTGTCTGCTTATGTAAGATATAAGGCTATTTTGACAATTACGGATATGTAGAAAATTTTCATACTTGCAAGTGTAAGGCCTCATATTTTATTTTCATCATCAAACGTTCTTTTCTTTTGTGGGATCTCTTTCTTTTCCATATAAAGTCACTGGTTAGTTTTTTCCTGTCTTAGAAGAATAACACCATTGAAGAAGAGTGATGAGATCTGAAGCAAGATTGCATATTTTTAGACTGATTTTGGTTGTACTAACATTCTATTTTTATAGATTACTTTCCTTTTCTTGAGTAGTGTCTTTTAATTTTCTTTGTATAAGTCTTTTGTTTCTTTGGTTAGATTTCATTCTAAGTATTTTCTCTTTGGGGTGGCAAATTCAAATGACATTGTTGTCCTTATTTCCTTTTCAGTTTTCTTTGTTCCTTCTTATAGAGGATGTGTCTTGCCACTTTGCTAAATCTCTCAATTAATTCCAGTAATTTTGTATGAATATATGTTTGTATGTTGTTGTTTTCATATTCCATTGAGTCAACTGTAATTCATAACAACCCTATAAACAGTGGAATTGAACCCTGCCCTATTTATTCTGTGCCATTCTTACCGTCTCTGACATGTTTTAGAACACTTTACAGTCACCATCTCAATCTATCTTTTTGAAGGTCTTCCTATCTAACACTGACATTTTGCCTTTCCATGTACAATATTCTTCTTCACAGACTGACCCCCTTCTAACAATTTACTCAAAGTATGTGGGATGAAGTTTCACCATCCTTGCTTCCAAGGCACACCGTGATTTTACTTTTTCAAGAAAAAAATCTGTTTGTTCTCTTGGCAGTTTATGAGGGTTTCAGTTTCCTTCTACAACATCATAAGTCAGAGACATTTATTCTTCTGTCATTCTCATTAATTTTCTAACTTTCATATGCATGACAAGGAATTGAGAATTCTATAACTTGGATTGTGCACATCTTAGATGTTAAACTAACACCATTGTTCTTTAGCACCTTGGAGAGGTCCCTGATAACTGATTTTCTTGATGTGACATATATTTTCATTTCTTGACTGCTGTACCAAGGGTATTGATTGTGGATCCAAGTAAGATAAAATCACTTACAACTTCGGTGTTTTCTACGTCTATCATGATGTTGTCTATTTGCCTTATGGTGAGGATTTTTGTCCTTTTGCATGAAGTCCAGATTTTCACATTATTTGGTTAGTATACATATTGAACAGAGGCAGATAAATTATACAACTCTGACAAACAGCCTTCTTTATATTAAACCAAAACTGTGTTCTCTTGATCTGTCCTAACAACAACTTCTTGGTTTAAATATAGGTTTTGTATGGACATGATTAATTTTTCTGGAATTTTCATTCTTTTCAATATTAGATATAGTTTGTCATTATCTACAGAGTCAAATGTCTTTACATAGTCAAGAAAATACAAATAGACATCCATCTCATGTTCTCTGCTTTCTGCAATGATCTATCTGGCATCAGCTAAGATATCCCTGTGCCACCACCTCTTCTAAATCTAGCTTGTATTTCTCGAAAGTATTTGCTAGTTTATTATAATAATCTTGACTAGTCATCAATTTTTAAAAATACTGATATTGAACTTGGGGGAATTACCTTTATAATAGAAAAGATAACAATAGATAATTATAGTATATTAATATTTTCTCTACTTTATTATCTCTTAAAGAGAACTGGGGTAGAGGTAAAGTAATGAATGAAAATAAAAAATTAAAAAGTGAACTGGGAAGGAGGAAGGGAAGAAAAGGGGGTAAAATGTGCAACAGTGAATAAATAAAAAATAACTTCTTTGTAAACTCTCATTAAAATAAAGTAAAAAAAGAAATAAGAATAAATTTGTAGCTTGAAACAGAAATTTAAATAATTAAATATTGTTAACAATTTAGAGACATTCATTTATAATCATAACTTCTTATATATTAAAAATATTTCAAAATCCAATACTAAAAAGTTCTTATGATATAACAAATTTTAAATTAGATAATTTTTGTTACATGTTTTTAGTTTCAAAGAGATTGTATCAAAAATATATTTTAACAAAGTCATAAATGTATACTTCTTGAAGGTGAGATTACATGCTCTTTTACTACTGTCTTTCTTAAAAAGACGTATTTAGTTTTTAAAAAGTGGTGGTAAATAAAAACACAGAAGTGAAACATTTGTTATGATTATAGTTAATATTTGATACATACTTTGAAATATTTTGAAAATAATTAAAGTTTTATTTTATTGAAAATTCATACAATTAATTTGATTATATTTGCTTACAGAAATGTCAATTAAAAAAATGCTGTAATCCTGCAGAATGTACTCTTATTGGATATGCAGAGTGTGGTACAGGAGCGTGTTGTGATAAAAAAACTTGTCAGGTAAGCTTTCAAAATATTACCCCTTTTCTCCATGATTTTTATGTGCTTTTATGAATGTTTTAAAATTTTTATTTTATACTGATTTACATAAAAAGTTCATAAAGTTCATATGCATTGTTTCTTACACAGGACCCTTTCTTTTACCAGTGCCTCTCTCCACCCATCATATTATGCAGCCTTGTGTTTTAAGCCCCCACTCCCTGGACCCGGCACCTTGGATCCTTGTACATGTTCTTCCTTAATGGTTCTGTACAGTATTTGTCTTTATGAGACACTTAGCATAGGTTCTCCAGTGCCTCCAATGTTAGGTAGTAATTAACAAAATCATTGCTCCTGCATGCTGTTGCGTAGTATTCCATTATATGAGTTACATGGAATCTCTGTCTAGCTTTTTAAGAAAATGCCAAACTGACTTCCAGAGTTTTTGCACCATTTAACAATCCCACCAACAATGTATGAGTCCTTATCTCACCTCATTCTCTACAACATTTATTACTTGCTGTCCTGCTAAACTTTGCCACTGTTAGTGGGGTAAGAGATAGAATACAACCCTGACACTTCCTTCCCAATTCCAAACCATGCAGTTCCCCCTGCTCTGTTTTCACAACACCCTCCTAATCTAGGTATAGGTTTCTCATGAGCCCAATCAAGTGCTTTGGGATTCCCATTCTTCTCAATGTCATCCACAACTTGTCATAATCCACACAGTCAAATGCCTTTGTATAGTCAATAAAACACAAGTAGACATTCTTCTGATATTCCTTACTTTCAGCCAGGATCCATCTGACATCAGCAAAGATATCCCTGGTGCCATGGCCTCTTCTAAATCCCATTTGAACTACTGGCAATTCCCTATCTATGTACTGTTCAAGCCATTTTTTAATGATCTTCAGCAGTATTTTGCTTGCATGTTATATCATTGATATTGTTTGATAATTTTCACATTCAGTTGGATCACCCTTCTGGGGAATGGAAACAAATATGGACCTCTTTCAATCTGTTGGCCTGACAGCCATCCTCCAAATTTTCTGGAATAGACTGGTGAGTGAATCCAAGGCTGCATCTGTTAATTAAAGCAAATCAATTGGTATCCCATCGATTCCTGGGGCCTATTTTTTTCCAATGCCTTCAATGCAGCTTCCACACCCCCTTTCACTACCATTGGATCCTGTTCATATGGTACTTCATGAAATTTTTTTCTGGTATAGTGACTTCGTGTATTTCCACAATCTTCTTTTGATACCTCTGGGTCATTCAATATATTACCCATGGCGTCTTTCAACATTGTGACATGAAGCTTAAATTTGTTTTTTCAGTTCTTTCAGCTTGAGAAATGCAGAGTGAGTTATTAATTCCAGCTCTCCACACATTCTATTATAATTATAATTGTCCTCTTGAGCTGCTCTTTGAAATCATCTATTCAGCTCTTTCACTTAAACATGTTTTCCTTTAGATTTGATTTCTTGGCATTCCAGTGCAATCTTTAGAGACCTTTATGATATCCATTTCAATTTTTTCTTTATCCTCTGTTTTCTTAATGACCTTTTTCTTTCTTCATGAATACATCCTTAATATCAACCCACAATCCATGTGCTGAGCAAATTAAACTAGAAGCTGGACTCTGTGAAGAAGAATGTGGCAGCAAGATTTGAGGGAGACTCATCAATAACTTGCATTGTGCAGATGACACAACCTTACTTGCTGAAAGTGAGGAGGACTTGAAGCACTTGTAGAAGATCAAGGAATGCAGCTGGTAGTGTGGACTGTGTCTCAATATCAAGAAAGCAAAGATTCTTACCACTGGACCAATACGCAGTGTCATTCTCACCACTGAGCCAATTGGCAGCATCATGATAGATTGTGATTGTTAACAGCTTTAGTTTGGTTGGCTCCACAATCAACACTCTTGGTACCACCAGCCAGGAAAGTAAAAGACAAATTGCATTGTGAAAGTCTGCTCTCAGAGACCTCTCCAAAGTACTGAAGAGCAATGATGTCAGTCTGGAGAACAAGGTGTGCCTGATTCAGGCCATAGTCTTTACAATTACTTTTTATGCATCAGAAATCTGGACAATGACTAACGATGATAGAAGGAGAATTGATGCCTTTGAGCTGTGTTGCTGAAAAAGTGTATTGAATGCACTGCTAGGAGAACAAACAAGTTCATCCGAGAGAAGGTGAGACCAGGCTGCTTCTTGGAGGCAAGGATTCTGAAAGTTCATCTGATATACTTTGGAGATGTTGCAAGGTGGCCCTAGTCCTTGGAGACCAACGTGCTTGGGAGGGTTGATGGACAGTGCAAAAGAGAAAGACCCTCAATGAGATGGATTGATTCAGTGACTGGGGAAATGGGGGCAGTGTTCTGAGACAATAATATCAGCACAGTATAGAGCAGAGTTTATTGTACATAGGGTCACTATTAGTTGCAGGTAACTCAACAGCATATAACAGCAACAACAAACAATAGCATGATGGATAATGAGGAGATTATAACTGTCATCAGCTTCATCTTGCTTGGATCCATGATTAACACCCTTGGTAAGAGCAGTCAGGAAATAATGAGATTCATTGCACTGGGAAAATCTGCAGTTAGATACATTTCTAAATTATTGAGGAGTCATGATATCAGTTTGAGAACTAAGGTGTGTCTGATTCAGGCCAGAGTCTTCCCAATTACTTGTTATGCATCTGAGAACTGGACAATGATTAAGGATGACAGAAAAAGAATTAATGCCTTTGAGCTGTGTGTTGAAGATGAGCACTGACCATCACATGGAAGGCCAAGAAAATTAACAGCTATGTCTTGGAGAGGGTGCATCTAGAGTGCTCTTTGAAGGCAAGAATGGTGAGGCTTTGCCTTACATACTTTGGACTTATTGCTAGGATGTACTATTCCTTGGAAAGGGACATGGTATTGGAAAGGGTGGATGATTGATGGTGGAGAGGATGACCCTGAACTAGGTGGATTGATACAGTCACTGCTGCAATGGGCTCTTGTGTGTCAGAAATTGTGAGGATGGCTCAGGACAGACTAGGTTTAGATCTTTTGTTCATAGGATTACTACGAGTTGTACTCAACTTGATGGGACCTAATAACAACACAAGAATAAGATGGTATCTCATGGCTTTGATTTGCATTTCTCTTCTTGCCAGTCATTTGGATCATTTCTTCAAGTGTCTTTTGACCATCTAAATGTCCCCCACAAAGTGGGGAAAATTTTTCTTTTTTGTTTAATTGAGACTAAGCAAAACAAACACCATTTCAGCAGTTTTTTTATGTATTGTACAGTGACACTGATTAGATTCTTTTAGTTGTGAGTTTTTATCTTTTCTCTGTTGTTCCTCCTCAATTAACAAACTTACTGTCCTGTAAAGTCTCTATCTATTCTTTTGAGTTACTATTGTTGGCTTATGGAGCTTTGGTAGTGTAGTGCATAGGGAATTGTGGTGCTAACCTAAGGGGAGAACCTCTCTAAAGTTTCAAATCTTCTTACGAAAGATGATCACTCTTCTACCATGTGATTTGTTGTTGTTGTTGTTATGTGCCATTGAGTCCCTTGTGACTCATAGCAACCCTGTGTACAACAGCCCTAAACTCTGCTCTGTCCTGTTCCAATCGCACTGTCTCTGACACACCCATCCTGATTACCCCAGTCACTGAATCAATCCACCTCATAGAGGGCCTTCCCCTCCTGTGCTGTCCCTCCACCCTCCCTAGCATGATGTCCTTCTCCAAGAACAGATCTCTTCTTATAACATGTCCAAAGTATGTTAGATGGAACCTCAGAATCCTTGCCTCCAATGAGCCACCTGGTTTAACCCTTTCCAGGATGAATCTGTTCATTTTCCTAGCAGTCCATGGTACTCTCAATACTCTTCTCCAGCACCACAGCTCGTGATTTATAGCAGCAGAAAATCCACTGGTGGGTGAACTATGAGTTTACTCTGACTCAAGAATAATGAGAATGAGAGTGAGTTGTCAATTTGATCATGTAAATAGTTTCTAAAATTACATAATGTTCTGAGGAATCCCCCACCCCCTTATTAAATTGACTTACTATATGAGTTTAAAACTTCAGGAGACCTTTTCTGCTTTAAACATTAAAAATTATCTCAGTTCAAGTTTCATTAAAGAAACTGAATTTAAAAAGGTACCAGGCATAGATGGAATACCAACTGACATCTTTCAGGTAACAGACAAGGCTGACAAGTCCATACCAGGAAATTTGGAAGACAACTACCTGGTTGACATACTGGGAGAAATCCATACTTGTTCCCATTCTCAAGAAGTGTGACACAACATGATGTGGAAATTATTAAAAAAAAATCCTTAATATCACATACACACAAAATATTATTGAAGGTCATAAAACATGGCTGGAACAGTACATTGATAGGAAACTGCTAGAAATTCAAGCTGGGTGTGATTTATTCTTGCTTGAATCCAAAATCAACACCCTTGGAACCAGCAGTCAAGAGTTTGGGAGACATATTGCTATGGACATGTCAGCTGTCAAGAACCTTTCCTAAATATTGAAGAACTACAATGTCAATTTGAAGACTAAAGTGCCTGACTCAGGCCATGGTCTTTTCAATTACTTGCTATGCATCTGAGAACTGGACAATGAATAAGAATAACAGAAGAAGAATTGATGCCTTTGAGTTGCGATGTTGGAAAAGACTAATACATCCCATGGGATGCCAAAAGACCAAATAATACATCTTGGAAAAGGTGCAATAAGAGTTCTCTTTGGAGGCAAATATGGTGAAGTTTCATCTCTCATACTTTAGATAGTTTTCTGAGAAAGGCTATCCTTTGGAAAGGAATATTATGCTTGGAAATATGGAGGATCAATGGAAGAGAGGCATACCCCTAGGGAAATGGATTGGCAGGCTGACAGCAGCTATCAAGTCATGTGTATCAGAGATTACACGGTATAGGACAGGATTCAGTCGTACTCAATTCAACAGGACCTGACAACAACAAGAAGCATTTCAGG